TTCTTTCTTTCTTTCTTTCTTTCTTTCTTTCTTTCTTTCTTTCTTTCTTTCTTTCTTTCTTTCCTTCTTTCCTGCCTCAATCACCGTAAAGCAATCTCCTTAATTCAGCATCTTGCTGTACAGCATCTAACCCTCTCTCTTACCCAGCCATGGCTGCTGTAGAACCCATAATGCACAGCCCCTGGCTAGGCTTAATTCCATATATTGAAGCAACCCTTTCAATCACTTGCCCCATCCTCTCCTTTTTAAGCCTGAAATGAAACATTAGGATCGCTGGGGACATTTCCCTCCCCCCCCACTTTGAAACCTGGTCTGTCACAATCCAGATGAGGCCCTGTTTTCTCCCTATAAAATTCCAATCGCCTTCCTTAATGCCAAGCTCTCCAGATTGCCCTGGAGCAAAAAAAAAGGCGATGAGAATAATTTCTAACCTCCACACAGCCTCCTAAATTAGAAAATAATCCACCGTTTCAGAGAGGAGCTTCAAAGCAATTTCCGCTCCTGTTTTTTATAAGGGGCCAAAATAACCATCTCGGTCAATCTTTTCCCAAGATTGGATGCCGTCGCCCTAAAATTCTCATCACCTCCAACCGAGGCATTCTTCAAAAATCCTGGCTAATAAGGTGTTTTTTCCTCCCCATGTTCTTCTGGGCTAGTCACCTGATTTCACAACCTTTCTTTGCCACAGCTGTTAAGCGAATCACGTGGGAGTTAAACGAATCTGACTTCCTCCGCTTTGATTTTGCTTGTCAGAAGCCTGCTGGGAAGATCGCAAGCGGTGATTCACACGTTGGTTCATTTACAATGGAGTGTAAACCTGAACGTTTGCTAAATGAATAGTCATAAGTAGAGGACTTCCTGTAGAGGCTTAAAATTCACGCTCACGGATTTGACTCCTGGCTGTTCTTTGCTATTTGTCCGTACAACTCTCCTTCTGTCAGGGACAGATGGAGAAATTGATGTACACATTGGTTCATTTACAACTGAGTGTAAAACTGAACTCTCACAAGTTGAGGATTCCCTGTAGAGATCGGAGGCTTAAAATTCACGGTCACGGGTTCAAATCCGGGCTGTTCTTTGCTTCTTTTCTTCCACAACTCTCTTTCTGTTCTTATTGGACAGGTGGACAAAGGGGGTTCTGATTAACACATTGGTTACAATTTTGTGTAAACCTGAACTTTGACACCTCCATCCTCATTTTGACATCTCCCTCCTCGCTTACTCCCCCCTCGTTCGTCTTGACACCCCCATCCTTGCTTACTCACCGGTTCATTTACAACCGAGCGTAAACGTGAACACTCGCTTAAAGAACGGCGGTAACTCAGGGACTCCCTGTAGAGATCAGAGGCTTAAAATTCACACTCACGGGTTCGAATCTGGACCGTTCTTTGCTATTTATCCCCGTGACTCTCCTTCTGTACTCATCGGACAGGTGGATAAAGCGATGTACACATGGGTTCATTTACACCTGAGCGTAAACCTGCGCGCTCGCTTAAAGAACGATTGTAACTCAAGGGACTCCCTGTAGAGATCGGAGGCTTAAAATTCACGCTTACGGGTTCGAATCCCGGTCGTTCTTTGCTTCTCTTATCCACAGTTCTCCTTCCGTATTCATTGGACGGATGGGCAAAACGGGCTCCGATGTACGCATTTGGTTCGCTTACAACTGAGCGTAAAACTGACCGCCCCCCCCATCCTCATTTTTCACCCCCACCTGGTGCTCTTCTTCGAGGAACACACCAGGAAACGACCCAGCCCTCGGTGCAACTCCAGGAAGTTGTGGGGTGGATTTTGCCTGGCAAAAAGCCCAAGTCGGTGATTTAAGTGCTTCCTCGTGAGTAAGCTGGGCCAACTCAGAATCAAAAGCAGCTCAGCAGGTGATTGATTTGCAACTTCCACTGTGAAGTCAGGTGGAGGGTTAAGTAACAGGCCCTAAACCTGAACTCTTTCACCACTGAGAGATAATAGGGCTTGAATTGTGTGACTTTTCCAGGATGATGTCATAAATAGGTTGGGATTGAAAGAAAAAAAAACCCCGGCGAAAATTAAAACAAAAAAATAAATCTATTACTCAGACCAATTTTATTTTCCTCTCCCACCCGCTCAGTGAGTGACGCTCCCTTGGCGAGAAAGAGTTTTAGAGTATATATAGCCGTGCAAAACCTGAGGTTTGCATTCGACTCTTGAGTTTCCTTCCTCCTTCATAGCGAGTGTGGTCCTCTCTCGAGCAGGTAAGTAGAGGCTGCGGACGGATCGATGTTCTGGTGTTGGTTTTCCTCCGTTGGAAAAGAAGAAAGGAGATTTTGGAGGGCAGGTTATCGGCTTCTCAAAAGGGAAAAGAGGAGAGAGAGACAGAGAGAAACAGGGGGGGGGGGGAGAGAGAGAGATAGAGAAAGAGAGAGAGACAGAGAGACAGAGACACACACAGAGAGACAGTCACACACAGAGAGATACACACACAGAGAGACAGAGAGACAGAGAGAAACAGAGAGAGGGGGGAGAGAGAGAGATAGAGAAAGAGAGAGAGACAGAGACACACACACAGAGAGACAGTCACACACAGAGAGATACACACAGAGAGAGAGACAGAGAAAGAGAAAAAGAGAAAGAAAGAAAGAGAGAGAGACAGAGAGAGACAGACACACACAGAAAGAGAGACAGAGAGAGAGAGAGAGACAGAGAGAAAGAGGAAGAGAGAGAGAGACCTACACACACACACACGCACGGATACACACACAGAGTCAGAGAGAGAAAGAGAGAGACAGAGAGACAGAGAAAGAGAAAAAGATAGAGAGAGACAGACAGACAGAGAAAGAGAGAGAGAAAGAAAGAAAAAAGAGAGAGAGACCTACACACAGACACACACAAAGGCACATATATAGAGTGAGTGAGTGAGAGAGACAAACAGACAAATAGACAGAGACAGAGAGAGAGAGAGAGGGAGAGAGGGGGGAAGAGGAAGAGAAGGTATCAATAGAGGGATAGAATCAAGATGATATGAAGTGTTAATACCACTTTACAAGGCCTTGGTAAGGCCACATTGGAATCCTGCATCCAGTTTTGGTCGCCACGATGTAAAAAAAGATGTGGAGACTCTAGAAAGAGTGCAGAGAAGAGCAACAAAGAGGATTAGGGGATGAAACATATGAAGAACGGTTGCAGGAACTGGGGATGTCTAGTTTGATGAAGAGAAGGACTAGGGGAGACATGAGAGCAGTCTTCCAATATCTCAGGGGCTTCCCCAAAGAAAAGGGGGTCAACTTATTCTCCAAAGCCCCTGAGGGCAGGACAAAAAGCAACAGATGGAAAGTAATCAAGGAGAGAAGCAACCTGGAATTAAGGAGGACTTTCCTGAGATTTAGAACAATTAAGCAGTGGAACTGCTTGCCACCAGAAGTTGTAAATGCTTCGTCACTGGAGGTTTTTAAGAAGAGATTGGACAACCATTTTTTTCTGGAGTGGTATAGGGTCTCCTATTTGAGCAGGGTGGACTAGAAGATCTCCAAGGTCCCTTCTGATTCTCGTGTTATTCTGTTAAGGCAGAAATACGTGAAGTGTTAAGCAGGTAGAAATTCAGGCTGGGTTTGGACAGACGTTAGCTGAAATGGAAACGGACAGGAGGCAATTTTTGACCTTCCGATCCACAGATTGTTAACTAGACAATTTTCAGACCAGGAATTAATAATCCCCGTGGCTCATCTGAATGCAAATGGTGATGATGCATTCTGCATTATTTATTAAAAATTGGCATACATTTTGCCTCACCTGTTAATAATTACCCGATGAATATTAAACCTGCTAAGGGGAATCGGGCTCTTTCCCCAGACAGCTTTATAATTAAGGACGTTTTGATTTCTGTTTCCCTATTCCGTTTTTAGTAGTCCTAAATATATACAAAATGTAGATATTTATGTGTGCATATATTATATATCTTATGGCCAATAAGGGCTCGTGAATATGTAGGGGGTGTTGAGTCTTCGGAGAAAGGCGGCATACAAGTTGAACAAATAAATAAATAAATATATAAATATAGTGTTGTTTTTTTTTTAAAAAAAAATGATAGGCCAACTGTGAGAAACGTTGGGACGAACTGAATGTAAAGGTTTTCAATTTAAATTTTCAACATTTGGCAAATGTTCTGCTTTAAAAAACCCCAAAGGGAATTTAGCAATTTTTTTTTATTTAAAAAGTTTTAACAATCATTACAACAATTTCCCCCCATATTTTTTATCCAAAATGCCTTAATTTTTTTTACATGTCCACCATATATGATAATACGTGGCATCATCACATTCACATCTCCAAAAATTTAGCCAATTTTTAAAGGCTGATTTTTACAGGTCAATTTTAACTTCTGGCCATAATAATACCGAGGTTAGAGTTTCTTGATAGCCTGAGAGATTATTTCTATCGGGTAACAGTAACCGTAGAGTTGGGAGGGAGCTTGGAGGTCATCTAGTCCACCCCCCCGCTCTCGCAGGAGACCTGATTCGAGCCGCCAAACTGCTTGTCGATCTTTCTGATCGACAAGCTCAGGTACATCTAACCACGATTGTTGAATTGAAGGAATGAAAGGGTGGTCTCGGGCTTTGGATTCTCTAAGTCCGCTGGGAATTGAGCGGAAGAATTTGGGAATAATGAAAAGCTGACTTTTGTTTTTAAATCTCCAGTTTATCCAACCCACCAAGATGTCTTACCAACAGCAACAGTGTAAGCAGCCCTGCCAGCCTCCTCCTCAGTGCCAGAAGACTTGCCCCACACCGGTCTGCCCCCCTCAAGTGTGTCCACCGAAACCTTGCCCCCCTCAAGATTGTCTTCCTGACCCCTGCCCTCCCAGACCCTGCTCTCCTCAAAGATGTGTCCCCAAACCTTGTCCCCCTCAAGATTGTCTTCCTGACCCCTGTCCCCCCAGACCCTGCTCTCCTCAAAGTTGTCTTCCCAAACCCTGCCCCCCTGAAGACCAGCAAAGCTGCCGTCCCTCCCAACGTCCGAAACGTTGTTGAGATGCCTTCAACCGGAGGATGGGTGAAAGAAGGAAGACGCAGTTGGGGCTTTTGTGGATCTTTTAACGCTTGGATGAACTTCTTTCTAACTGACTTGGTGACTCCATGACTCTGTCTGCTCCTCATGGCATCTGATCCTGCCCGCCTGTGGTCAAAACACCACAAATGTTTTGGGTCGCTGCTTGGGACTGACGGCCAACCTGGTTGGTGACGAAAGCTTGCATGTCCTCTCCTGACATCGCTGAGAACTCGAGATGGTAAATCTGGACGGGCAGCTGGAAGTTCTGGAGAACTTCTGACTGAGAGGGTTTCCCAACATACATTCCAGGAGGCGTTTCGGAGTGTTGCACCCGGTGTTTTGCTAAATAGTATTCCTTTGTGTTCTCGATCTATCTGTTCCCTTTCGGTGGCTGAGAGCTATAATTAAAGCATGCATGACGTAGATCAAATCTGCCTTTGAATTCCTGGATTACTTCTTGCTAAGTATCAATTGTATGTCGGTCCGGGAGAAGTTAGAATCGAATGGAATGGAATAGAAATACGATTAGGACTAGAAAACAACAGAACAGAACAGAACAGAACAGAACAGAACATACAGTAAAGTAGAATGTAGAAAAGAATAGGAAAAAAAGAGAGGATAGGATAGGATAGGATAGGATAGGATAGGAAAGATCAGACGAGAATAGCAATAGCACTTAGACTTATATCCCACTTCACAGTGCTTTCCAGCCCTGTCTAAGCAGGTTACAAATGTCATCTTATTGCCCCCAACAATCTGGGTCCTCATTTTTACCAACCTCGGAAGGATGGACAAAAGGCTGAGTCAATCTTGAGCCTGGTGAGATTCGAACTGCCAAATTTCAGGCAGCTGGCAGTCAGCAGAAGTGGCCTGCAGTACTGCACTCTAACCACTGGGCCACCGTGGAATAGAATAAAATAAAATAAAATAATAATAAAATAGAATATAGAACAAAGTAGAATATAGAAAGAATATAGAATAGAAAATAATTCAGAATAGAATTAGAAAACAATAGAATAGAATTAGAAAATAGAATATAGAACAAAGTAGAATATAGAAAGAATATAGAATAGAAAATAATTAAAAATAGAATAGAATTAGAAAACAATAGAATACAATAATAAAATAGAATATAGAACAAAGTAGAATATAGAAAGAATATAAGAATAGAAAATAATTAAAAATAGAATAGAATTAGAAAGCAATAGAATAGAATAATAAAATAGAATATAGACAAAGTAGAATATAGAAAGAATATAGAATAGAAAATAATTAAAAATGGAATGGAATTAGAAAGCAATAGAATAGAATAATAAAATAGAATATAGAATAAAGTAGAATATAGAAAAGAATATAGAACAGAAAATAATTCAGAATAGAATAGAATTAGAAAACAATAGAATAGAATAATGAAGAAAATAATTAGAACATAGAAATTAGAACATAGAATAGAATAGAAATTAAAATAGAAACTATGCTAGACTAGACTAAATCAGACTAGAGTACTTTATTGGCCAAATGTGATTAGGAATTTGTCTCTGGTGCCAACCTGGGAAATCTTCAGTCACTTTTTGGAGACGGTAGCTGGGAGGGCAATAATTCTTAGGAATGTTTATAATTCTGAGGAAAAACATATCCACACAAACACAAAGATGTCCCAGAGAATCCATAACTCGTCCTACTTAAGACTTTCTACTTTGACTTGACTTTGAGATCTGCTGGAGAAGACTTCTCGATTCAAAGTTCTCCAACGCTTGGAGAGAGCAAACTAGTTAGTGGAAAACACACTCTCTGGTAGGTTTAGAACAGAACAGCACAGAAGGGACTTGGGAGGTCTTCTAGTCCAACCCCCTGCTCAGGCAGGAAACCCTACACCACGAGTAGGAGTAGCTGGTCTTCAGCCCCATGCTTTCCTGAATGGGACCTTTGAAGAAGAGTGACCTTAAATGGATGTTGTGAGAACAAACCCTACGATGACTCTTGAAGGAAGCCAACACACGTCCCCAAACCTTGCAGACTTGGCATTTCCAGTTGGAGAAATGTCATCCCTCTCCATGGGTGTTCAGACACGTTTATCTAGAACATCTGAGGAGCTTCCTTGGAAAAGCCCAGACAGTTAGTAGAAATACTTGGGGGAGAATTTGTGACCCAGCTAAAGCTATTAGACTCATGACAAATGACTTTTGACAATTAAACCAGGAGCTAAGAGTTGAGAAGACGCTGGCCACATCTCAGGAGCTGATTCTCCAGTATTTTTTCATGGGGACGTGGCTGAGGTTTGTTCCCTTGCTTTGGAGAACATCCAAGACAACCTCTAGCTGTCTTCTAGGAATTTGACTCACCTTGGATCATTTGCAAATCCTTTTGTGTTTTTAAGAGTTAACTCGTTGACTTATGTAAAGAGAGTTTACACCCTCGGGTTATCTTTTGAGCACAGTAAGGGAGAAGAAAAAGAGACACCTTGGTTTCCATCCCACAAGGTTTCCTGATTGGTGGTCCAGAGAAGAACCTCCATTTCCCAAAGCAGTCTACTTCAGTGGTGGAGAGAAATTATGTATGGAGCCTCAGACTTTCCGAAGGCCCATCGAGAATCATGGGGGAAAAAAATCTCTTGGGGAGGGCAGAAATTGGAGGAAACCATGGTTGAAATCTAAGTGGGGACATAAAATGGGATCCTGGTTCATCCTGGTCTCCAAGGTACGAACGTGAGTGGAAAGTCATTCTGGTTTCACCAATGTATTCCTTCCTTCCCTGGAGCTCACTAGCTTGAGAAATTGACCAGAAATTGACCAGAAATTGATCAGAAATTGATTAGAAATTGACCTGAAATTGACTAGAAATTGACCTGAAATTGATTAGAAATTGACCGGAAATTGATGAGAAATTGACGAGAAATTGATTAGAAATTGATTAGAAATTGACCAGAAATTGGTTAGAAAATGACCTGAAATTGACCTGAAATTGATGAGAAATTGACCAGAAATTGATTAGAAATTGACCAGAAATTGACGAGAAATTGACCAGAAATTGATTAGAAATTGACCAGAAATTGATTAGAAATTGACCAGAAATTGATGAGAAATTGACGAGAAATTGATTAGAAATTGATTAGAAATTGACCAGAAATTGGTTAGAAAATGACCTGAAATTGACCTGAAATTGACGAGAAATTGACCAGAAATTGATTAGAAATTGACCAGAAATTGATTAGAAATTGACCAGAAATTGACGAGAAATTGACTAGAAATTGACCAGAAATTGATTACAAATTGACCAGAAATTGATTACAAATTGACCAGAAATTGATCAGAAATGGTCATTTGTCCTGTGACTTTTAGACTGGGTGCCCAAAAAAGTTTTTCTGATAGTTAGACATGACCCTGTCCTCTCTGGATGAGAATTGTCACCTCTGGATGAGTATTGTCAATCACAAGTCGAGTGATCACTTCTTCTCAAACCTGGGTTTGTGTGTGTTGGGTCTATCCAGGAAGGCAACGAGCTTTTAAAAAAAAAAAAAAAATCGGTGTTGGATGCCACGTTGCAACCCAGGATGTTCTGTGTTCATTTCTCGAACAGCACACACCCTGTGATGGTAGCATCTGTGAAACCACAACTGCCACAAAAAGGCACTGGGGACATTGTTTTCCAGTATGACGAGCTTGTCAAGCTAATTGGGAGCAAATCTCTGCGATCTGAGATAACACACATATTCCCAACACCGCCTGGTACCGGGATGTCAACATCGGCATGCCAACCATCTGAGCGTTGGCAGAGCTAGGGCACGTCCTTCAAAAAGAAACCAAGTATCCAGTCCTTGTCGTGTCTATCTTAGGCTGGATCTCATCTTTGTTCAGCGTCGCTCACAGCCCTGTTTCTCGGGCATTACCTATAACGTGCTCCAGTAGTGGGTTTCAAATCCCGTCACTACTGGTTTGCTTGTGGACGCGCTCGAGCTCTTGCACGGGCAGGTGGGCGGAGCTTCCCACCACTGCCGCTACCAGTTCGCCTGATCCAGGGCGAACTGGTAGCGGCCCACCACTGATGTGCTTCCCCTGGTGTATTTAACCAGGATCCAGACGCTTATCATGGAGAAATCTGAAATCTGAATTTTGATGGCCACAAACCAACAAACCACCAATCAATCAAACAAACCACCAATCAAACAAACCACCAATCAAACAAACCACCAATCAAACAAACAGAGACTAATTTAGACATTGGGCAAAGCTATAAAGGAATGTAATTAAAGATGAAAAACTTCGGCCACTGTGTCATGAAGTCGGAGACTCCAGACAGTCCTCATTTTACAACCGAAATTGGGACCGGAGCTTCTGTCCCTAAGCGAGGTGATCATTTAGTAAGCCCTGTCCAATGTTATGACCTTTTTGCCGCAGTTGTTAAATGAATCCGGCTCTTCCCACTGACTTTGCTTGGCGGATGGTGGCAGATCATGTGACCCAGGGATATGGCAGCCGTCATAAATACATGCCAGTTGAGTGGTGCGGTGGCCTAGAGGTTCGATCCTAGGTAGAGGCAGATATTTATCTCTCTGATGAGAATATATCTACTGGAAAAAAAAACTCAGCACTGGCGACAGGAAGGACATCTGGCCAGTAAAAACTCAGCTCCATTCCATTGCCCAGACTCCATCCCGATGCAAGGGATTACGGGGTCGTTAAATGATAAAGAAGATAAATGCATGCCAGTTGCCCGAACTGAGATCACTGGCAGTGATGGTCGTAAGTGCGAGGCACAGGGCAGTTGTACCTTCAAACGGTCGCTAAATGAGCAGTCGCAAGTGGAGAACTGCCTTGTTAACTCGCCTTTCGTGACTATTCATCTTTTTTTTTACCGTGGCTAATTTATTTCCTGACACCTCAGCTCTATTTTTTGATCGCTTGAGCAGTCTGTGTCTGACTTCAGGGGCCGAAGATGCCACCACCTTCCCTGGGATTTGTTTGAAGTATTAATTTGGGGCTGAACCTCATCCCGAGCGTCTCCCCACTTTGCAATTCTCCCAATCCAGATTTAATTGGGCAGGTTAATGAGGCAATTAAACAGCACCGGTTTGCAAAACTCAAAGCTTGCCCGGGCCACGTCCCCAGCGGCGGGTGACATAATTCTGAAATTTTTCCACCCGAGTCTGTTTATTCCCGGATTATATTATATCCCGGTGTCCTAGGGCTGTCTCCGAAATAAATTCTCTGCCTTTTGCACATTTATCCTCGTCGCTCGACGGAGCTGTAGGAATAATAGATCTCCAAAGTTAATTAAGCGTTCTGTTTGTATTAAAACCGGATAATTGTTTTAATTTTAGATTTAGGATGATGGAGAATTGCACCTGGCAGCATTATTTAGATCAAACCTGTCTTTATTGACAAAACAAGAAGCAGGAATGAAACGTACTGCTTCAAAAAAAAAAATCATAATGCTTAACATTTGCTTTTTAATTCCTCCCCTCCTTGGGATCCTGCCAAATTTTGACGGCTCTGCTGCATCGGTTTTAATATTCTTTCCCCCCCACTTTTATAAATCAGTTTTCTTGGGGGGGAATATTCTCCCATCCCCCTTTATTAATCCCTTTCTTTTAGGACCAATTTATCCATGCACCTAAGGAAATTTTGCAATATAAATATAAATTAAGAAATTAAAACAATTGACACTACGAGCCCCATTTGCCACAAGTAAGCTTGGAAATTATTTTGGGAGTGAAATGGGCGAGGCGGAGAAAGGATAAATGAAGGTAAATTAAAGACAGGCAGAAAATTAAGCAGATCCTGAATTCCATGGTTAAAAAAATATATATATATATCTGCAAATGTTTATATAAGAATTCCACAACTTGGTGCCTGCTGCCCCCTTGAGGCGGCTTTGAGAAATAGCATTTTACAATCGTAAATGATGGACTAGTACAACTGCCACATTTACTTAACGACCACTGCAAAAAAAAGGGTCATAAAATCAGTACAGTCAAGGGCTGACCCAATTTACTGCCGTTGTGACTGTAATGGGCGGGCTTGTTTTAAATCGAGGACTAAATCTGTAAACTTCTTCCCTAAATTTGTGCTCTTGAAAGAGCAAAAACTTTAGATGCCACCAGAGGGCGCTGCTGCTTTGCAGATCGCTAGGATTTGAGCCTCGAAACAGAACCTCCATAAACTGAGGCAGTCTACTTCAGAGAATCTCAGGATAGGGGGGAAAAAAAGATTAATACAATTTTGTCTCTTTTCCTTTGAAACCCTGTAAATTTAAATAAGGAGTGATGGAGTTTGGGATGCAACCATGCAAGATACAGGACACCAATTTATATATTTATATTTATAAATCAACTTTGAACAAACTTCAGCTTTGTTTAAAAAAATAATAATCCGTGAAACAAAAAGCAAAGCAGCACAGCAATGATTGCACAATTTAAAAAAAAAATACAGTAATTAAAACACTGTAGTTTATCTAAGTGAATAGTAAAGGGTGAGGTCTGGGGAGTGGAAAAGGAAGAAAAGGGAAATATATAATATTCAGTTATTTAGCTACTTGAGCCAAAAGGATTTAGTAAGGTGGGAGTCGATACTGAGTAGTATCTAAGGAGATAATTTTTCAGAAATATCTGAATCTCTTTGGCTTTACAACAGAGTTCCTAAACCCAGCCAAGATCTCGGAGTTGGGGGCCTGTGGCTGTCAGGTTTTCAGGCCGTCTTCAAATAAATTGCGTCTCAAACAAAGTCTTTTTTGAAACAAACTTCCATTTTATTTAGCACGGCAACTTTTACACTGACTCCTGAGGTGCTGACCCAAAATCCCTCCTCTTCCTTCCCCTGCTCCTCTGCATTCATTGGCCATCTTCCCAATCATTCACCCCTAATCTACTGCTCCAACTCAAAGAATTTCCCCCCTCCCATCCATCTCCTAGGGGACATTATCTCCAGCTAAAATAAGTAGGTGAAAGGCAACCGTCCCGTTGTGTTCTCCTTCTCATGTCAGCACTAGGATAAATGCATCTTGACGTGCTGACAGTGGCATAAGTTAACCTGGAAAAAGAGAAAGAATGTTTTTTTGTGCAAAATTACATGGCGTTGTTACAACATAAAAAACAATACAGCCTTAGCTAAAACAATGAATCAATTTATAGACTATTTTATTTTCCTAGGCTCCAAGATCACCGCAGATGGGGACTGAAATTATGAAATTAAAAGACGATTGCTCCTCAGGAGGAAAGCTACGGCAAATCTAGATAGCTAACTAAAAAGCAGAGACATCACCCTGCCAACAAAAGAGCGTATAGTCAAGGCCATGGTATTCCCAGTTGCAATGTACGGCTGTGAAAGTTGGACCTTAAGGAAGGCTGAGTGCCAAAGAATGGAGGCCTTTGAACTCTGGTGCTGGAGGAGACTCCTGCGAGTCCCTTGGACTGCAAGGCGATCCAGCCGGTCAGTCCTAGAGGAGATCAACCCTGACTGCTCTTTAGAAGGCCAGATCTTGAAGAGGAAACTCAAATCCTTTGGCCACTGAATGAGAAGGAAGGACTCCCTGGAGAAGAGCCGAATGCTGGGAACGATGGAGGGCAAAAGAAGAAGAAGGGGACGGCAGAGAACGAGGAGGCTGGATGGAGTCACTGAAGCAGTCGGCGGGAGCTTCAATGGACTCCGGAGGATGATAGAGGACAGGAAGTCCATGGGATCGCGATGGGTTGGACACAACTTCGCAACTAACAACAACAACAATAGACTAACATTAAAGGACGTCTTCATGCCAATATGCCATTGCTTGGCTGAGACAAAGAAGCATTTGATTACCTCAATACATCGAGTCCAAGAATAACAAATATAACAACAGGAACTATAACTCCAGTATTCAGATACGAGATCTTGATAAATGTATTATCCTGTTATTAGGATTGTGACACATAATAGGTTGAGTTCAGCTTGTCAACTCCACCCAATACAGTTAATTGCATGTTTAGGAGACAAGACAGTGAATGAGCACACCTGCCAGTCCTGTTTCTATCACAGACTTAAGTGGGTCAACAATCCAACAATGGGGTTGTGGGGATGCAAAAAAAAAGGGGGGGGACACGGACGACAGATGACCAAGTCATGGGACCTCCTGGGAGGTTTCATTGAACCCAGAACAGAGCTAATTGGATGAAGATTAGTTTGCCCATCATCTTCAGTCAGATAGGTTATTGGAAAGTCTAAACCAAATCGATCAATGCTTTTGGTCTATTTGGTCCTCCAAGGAAAAGAGTTGGTGAGATAGAGCGGCTGGGGGAAAAAAAAACTCTTTGCCCCAAAGAGTGTGGTGGTCTTGCTAAGTCAACTCTTCATGAGTTGACCAAGAAGAAGAGACCATGTCAATACAGGTAGTTCTTGATTTACGTTCGGTTGCTTAACGACTGTTCGAAGTTACAACAGAACTACCTGGAGGGGTATTTATGACCTGGATCTGAAGTTCACACAGTTGCCCCCCCCCCTCCATAGTCACATGACCAAACCTCGGACACACACAGAAACATGGCTGAATTTGTGGTCACGTGACCACATTTTTACAACGGTTTTGCTGAAAACTGGAGCGTACTTCAGCAAAACTGCACTCCTAGCAACGCTTAATGCCCGTGGCGTTCACTTAAGGACCACCATTAAAAAGGTCGTAAAAATCAGGTTGGTCACATGACCAAGCTATTTAGCAACCACCTGCCTTGATTTTCCACAGGGATTGGAATGTGTGGTTGTAGTTTGGTGAGTGAGTGTGAGTCACATGGACCTGATTTCGTTGGCTATTTTACAGTTGTCTCTGTGGCTGTGATAGGCGTGTCTTAGTGGTTGTCCTCAAGAGTTGGGAGAAAGTATCTCCTACACACTTCGTGGGAAGGGATGCTTTGCTTCTAATAATTTTTAAACTGCTGCTGTTTCGTTCTGTTCTTTAAATCAGGACGAGGTATTCTCAAGATGGGGTTAGTTAATGCCTACGGAAGACCAGGTCAACTTTTTTAGACCCAGTGAAGGAAGCTATGGAAACAATTCCTGGAACAAGGAAAGGGAAAGGTAAGTGAAAAATTTAACAGAGTAACAGAGTTGGAAGGGACCTGGTGGGTCTTCCAGTCCAACGCCTCGCTGAAGCAGGAAACTCTATCACCTTTCAGACAAATGGTTGTCCAATCCCTTCTTAAAAACCTCCAGTGTTGGAGGTCCCACAGTTTCTGGAGGGTAAGCCATCCCACTGATTAATTAATTAACAGAATACCAGAGCTGGAAGGAGCTTTGGAGGTCTTCTTGTCCAAGCAGGAGGCCCTATCCCATTTCAGACAAATGGTTGTCCAATCTCTTCTTAAAAACACCTTCAATGTTGGAGCATCTACAACTTCTGGAGGCAAGCCATTAAATTTGGACCTTTAATGGTTCTAAAGTAGGGGTTGAAGTACAATTCCCACAATCCCTTTCCTACGGGGCTGGAATGTGATGTGAATTAAATGTCCTCCCATCTTCAAAAACCTGGGTTTCTCCACCTGGTTCCTCACTCATTTCCCCACCATGCCTTCCCTCTTCTCTGGTCTACTATGACTTCATTTTTATTGACTTGCTCTTCTTCAACCAGAAGAGGTGATGATCTAACCCCTCACTTCCCACAACTTGAGGTCCCTCTTCGTCGTGTCGTGTAAACCCACCCTGTGGTGTGATGCAGGGAAAATAAAGGATCCCCTTTGCTAATTCCAGAAGGTTGGAGAACTTCCCCGATTCATCCCGTTCTCCACCACCACCACCACCCAATGCCCCCAAGCTTCACAAAGGATGCCAAATCCACTTATTTGCAGGCAAGGGGTTGTTTTAATAGCTTCACAGGGATAACAGAGCAGGGAAATTCAGAGGTTGGAAAATTTCCAGGTCCACCCTTTGGGTTTCTGGGAAGGAGGAGAACGTGCTAGAGGTAGAGGTCGGTTGGCTGCGTTCTTTGAAGGTATCTACTTCTGCTTCACTTGGGTAGATCCCCCACCACAGCAGCCACCACCGCAACGCCGGCCACAGCACCGACCACAACAGGGGCCCGAACGGTTGATGCAACAACATCTGCTGGTCTGCTGGGTCTGTTGAACGTAGACGGTGCCCGAACCACGACTGCAGCATCCGCCGCCGCTACTTCCTCGGCGGCAACAACAACCTCCTCCTCCTCCGGTTGACCCACGGCTGCAGCATCCACCGCTACTTCCTCGGCGGCAGCACCCTCCGCCTAGGCCGCTGCTACCTCCGCCACAGCAGCTTCCTTGTTGTTGCTGTTGTTGTTGGCTCATGTTGACTGCAAAGTCTAGAAGACGAAAGACAGAGAGACGGGTGTTACTTTGAGGTCCTGGAGAACAATGTGAGTTGAAGGGAAGCATTTCAACACACGAAGAGTTCTGATTTATCTATCCTCCTATCATCCCCTCTATTTCTTGTGGTTGACTCATGTTTCCTGTGGTTTTGGTAAGCTTTGAGAAGTGTTGATGGAGCAACCGGCGTCCTGTTGTGGCTTCCAAGGATGGGCAACTCTGTCATTAAATATAAGGATGCTGCACCATCCGGATGAAGCTCTCATTCTATCTGTTTTAATTTCCTTGGATATCAACTTTGAAACAGCAATCTCGATACTCCTAGGCTTCTGGTAAGGATGAGGCTATCAAATTTCAAGGTTTGCAGAAGTGATCTGTTGGTTGGGAATGATGGGAGTAGGAAGCCAAGACTTTGGAGGGTGCCCAAGTTAATCTAAGGATCTCCAGAATCCCTCGGTCTATCTTAAAAAAAGGACAACTCTTCTTATCTAGAGTTGGAACCACTAATGGTGCATGAAGACACCGCTGAGCCTCCACATCAAAGAAAGCTTCAATGGAAGCAAGTTCATGTTGGTGTCGAACAGAGTTAAGATCCCTGCTTGAATAACCTTCAGCAGCACCAGCGAAGAATTAATTCTAAACTATCTGTTCAAACATCTAATCAAATTAAAGACAGAACATTACATTTATGCTGTTTGCTATTGTGGTTCCACCAAGCTAGAATGTCATCAATGGGTCAACAGAGAAAGACCATCTCTAGATCAACCCTTTTGCCCAGAGAAAAATCCTATCTTCCATTCTGGGCATCTCCAAGAGTGGACTTGATGACCATCACAACTCTACGTTAGATGATTAAAGAAATCTTTCTCATACTCACCGATTGGTTGTCAGGTAGAGGAACTCTGGACTTGGTTGAGTCTACTCTTTCAAGCGAATGAAGAACCTCTGGCCAAAGTCCTCTTTTTATACTATCTCTCCCTGTCCCATTTCAGAAACCAAAGCACGTTCTAAGGAAACCATTGGCTGCGGAGGCGTCCAATACCTGACCTTACGGTATGTACTAATTTACATATCTTAGGTGACTCATTGTTACTTGTGATCATAATCTACAGGTGAATCTGAAAAAACCTTACGATTCTACTACTATGACTTGTGTGTGACATCCTCGTGAACTCAGAAATGATGTAACTGCTTAGGAAGTGGAGATTTTCTCGTCAACGTTTGACATTTCGGTCTTTCAAGTTTGTATGTTCTAAGACTTTCAAGTTGGTATAGAATAGAATAACAGAGTTGGAAGGGACCTTGGAGGTCTTCTAGTCCAACCCCCTGCTTAGGCAGGAAATCCTACACCACTTCAGACAAATGGTTATCCAACATCTTCTTAAAAACTTCCAGTGTTGGAGCATTCACAACTTCTGGAGGCACGTTGTTCCACTGATTAATTGTTCTAACTGTCAGGAAATTTCTCCCTTAGTTCTAGGACTTTCAAGTTTGTATGTTCTAGGACTTTCAAAGTTTCTATGTTCTAGGACTTTTGAGTTTGTTTGTTCTAGGGACTTTCAAGTTTGTATATTCTAGGACTTTCGAGTTTGCATGTGAAGGACTTTCAAGTTTGCATGTTCTAGGACTTTCAAGTTTGCATGTTCTAGATTTTCAAGTTTGTATGTTCTAGGACTTAGGGGAAAAAAAGAAAGAAAAAAATGTGATCCATGCTTCCGCAGCTGTTCTCTTAAAACCCATAAAAATCAATGTTACTCCTGAGGAAGAAGGTGCCACAAGTTTCCCCAAGGTAAATATGGATTCCATATCATCTGGAGAACTTTTGCTAGACCCCCTTGAGAGACAAAGTTTGGAGTTGTGTGTTAACCAACCCAACCATCGTGGTTTGTGGAGCTGTACAAGCCAGTAAAACTAGCCAGTTGTGGATAATTCAGCAAACTGTGATTGATATATCATAGTTTAGTGCCATATGAATTAAGCGTGTCACCAATTTGTAGATGGGGCTAAGGGACCATTGATGTTGTTAAAATACAAGGTGTAGCATCCTTTATCTTTGGATACTGCTGGGTCTTGTTGCCTACAGTGGATTGCCACTTAGCTAGCCCACTACACTAAACCACACACAAATGCATACTCCCACAACACACTAATGAACGGTAGCAACTGTGGGTCTTTCTAAAGGTAAGTGGGATCTCATGTGGATATGTTTCAGCCAAATATTGCCACACTTAATCTGAGAATAATGGAATTGGAAGGGACTGTGGAAATCTTCTAACTCAACTCCCTGCTCAAGCAGGAGATCCTACACCATTCTGGACAAGTGGCTGTCCCACAACTTTAGAGTTGCGGCTTGCAATGTGAATTGTAGTTGTGAAATCCTCATGGTTGATGGGACAGAAAACAGAAGACGATGTCTTCTCCATCTTTTCATCTCCTTCCCCAACTCCCTGGTTCCTCCTGAAAACATCTAGAAATGTTACGTCTCAATCGTAAGGTTCTCCTCGTTAACCCCGATGAAATCTGATAACGGAATTGCAACCCATTTAACTCTGCCAACATTAACTTTCCTTAGAAAACAGCTCCGGGGAGTAGCCAGAACTTCAGAGTTAATTTACAACCATGAGCTATTCATTTTCCTCCTAGCATTGCTAAAACAGCATAATTGTAGGTGGAAAATATGCCCAACTCCCATGTTTTACAATTTTTTCTTCTTTGGCTATGTGTATATTTAAAATTAGGCTTCCGATATTTTTGGCCCTTCAGGTAAGAAAACACAATGGTAGGAGACGACGTTCTTGTCACATTCTCTGAGTTTCAACCTGGAAATTCTACTTTAGTTTGAGTTTCAGTCTAGTTTTAATTTAGTTGTGAATTTAAATTTAGTTTGAGTTTGAGTTTACTTTGAGTTTCAATCTGGAAATTCTAATTTACAAGGATTGGCACATGTTTGGCGTTAAGAAACTGGACGGTGTATAACTTTAAACATGATGTTGAACTCCTCTTAATGTTTGGCTCTCAAGAACTTATAAAAGAACATAGAATATCAGAGTTGGAAGGGACCTTGGAGGTCTTCTAGTCCAACCCCCTGTTTAAGCAGGAGACCCTATACTATTTCAGACAAAGGGTTGTCCGATCTCTTCTTGAAAGCGTCCAATGATGGAGCACCCACAACTTCTAGTGGCAAGCTGTTCCACGGGTTGATTGTTCTCACTATCAGGAAATTTCTCCGTAGTTCTAGGTTCCTTCTCTCCTGGATTAGTTTCTATCCATTGCTACTTGTCCTGCCTTCAGGTGCTTTGGAGAACAGGTTGACCCCCTCTTCTTTGGGGCAGCCTCTCAAATATGGGAAGACTGTTATCATATCATCCCTGGTCCTTCTTTTCATTAAACTAGCTATACCCAATTCCTGCAACCGTTCTTCATATATTTTAGCCTCCAGTCCCTTAATCATCTTCTGTTGCTCTTCTCCTCACTTATCCAAAGTCTCAACATCTGTTTTATAACGTGGGGACCAAAACTGGATGCAGGACTTTGTGAAATACATCCACACACTGATAATTTTTTTTCTTCTCCAGAGAAGTTAATTTTGGGAAATAGGAATCTCAAGGACATGCATAATAACTTAACTGGCAGCGTCTTCACCACAAAACCTGTAAGGTAGGTTAGCTTAAGATCACGGCAGGTGGTCTGGTGAATTTCTTCACTAGGATGTCCTTCAGATCTCCCTGGGCCTAGTTGAAGATGTGTTTTGTGAAAGCACAGTAAAATAAATCAGCCAACCATTGTGTGCGGACGTGCCAGTGAGCTGTTCCAGTCATCTGAGGCCATGATCGGTATGGTTGTTGTGCGCCGTGATACAACAAGGACGGAAGGCAAGGAATTTCAGAATGGCCCTGCTGAGATGTGGTTGAGCATTCTGGATTCCACCAGAGGTGAGTGTATGTCAAAGAAATTCCCCATTGTGTCACTTCCTATGCAATTAGTTGCCCACATGTTTCTGCGGGTAAGATGATCAGTGTCGCAGAGCTATCACTGGAAAAAATCCTGAAGGTTGACGTGGTGTCACTCAAGATAATCCTTGGATGGTCCCAGGCAGTTGAGAACCTCCATCGATTGAGTAATGAAGAGAGTGGGCCATAACATCAGTCAAAAGATCCAACTCATTGAACGAGGTGTAACAAGTTTATGTGGTTTGTAGCTCAAGGTGAGATCTCCAAACTCTGCCCACAAGAAGGTTTGAGTTTAATCTTCCCATCTACAGGGGAGGAGTCCTACTTCACAGACAAAGGATCTGAAGGATTATTGTTTGAAGGTATCAGGGATACCTCCCAAGATTGCTATGAAACCTTCATCTGGAGATCTGACAACAGGCCAGTGTATCAATTCAATTGAATGCTAAGTAGCATATCCTGAAATGAGATGGCAATGCAACGTATGGGTTGGTTGAAACATCTGTCAGGCTTCTGAGTAGGTCATCATAATCCAAACTGTCTCGGTATAAAAATAAAGTGAGAATGAATAATGACAGAAGAGACCCATAACTACATGGAGACGGACTTCTGAGGAGATCCTTGCCCAATCTTAGTGCAAAATATGTGTGTGCCTTTTTCTATTTCTGCTTCTCTCTTGGGAACTATCCCTGCACCTTTTCAAGCCTGGGCTTCCCTGGTGGATCAAACTAGCTTTGAGCTGGAGATGGTAGATTGAATGAAAACAAGGACTAGGAGTGACACGATAGCAGTGTTCCAGTATTTGAGGGGCTGCCCCAAAGAAGTGGGGTCAAACTATTCTCCAAAGCGCCAGGAGGCAAGACAAGAAACAACGGATGGACACTAATCAAGGGCAGAAACAACCTGGAATTAAGGAGAAACTTCCTGACAGTGAGGAGAATTAACCAGTGGAACAACTTGCCACCAGAAGTTGTGGGTGCTTCATCACTGGAGTTTTTTTGTTTTTAAAGAGGGATCTGGTTGATGTTTCTGGTTTGTAGACATGGAATCTCCTTTTGGTCTCCTAATGCAATCTGGATTCCATCCAGGTTAGATACCATAACTTGCTGAGATATTAAAGGTATCTAAAGATCGCGCTGATTGTCAGTGACCTTGAAAAAGACATTTGATCCAATTTCATTTTAATTGTTTTCCAATCCTTGATAGCTTTTTTTTTTTTTTAAAAAATAGCGGTAATGAGTGCTGTGGTTGGAGATTGGAACAGGATGTGCCAATGGGTGACACCAAAAAACCCTACCTGGACAAGAGAAAAAAACAAAACAAAAGTATACACAATTACTACCAAAGGTGCTTTTTTCAAGAAGCAACTGGACTTCCTTGTTTTTTCCTTTTGAAGACCTTTCGCTTCTCGTCCAAGAAGCTTCTTCAGCGCTGACAGGATGGAGGAGAACGGAAGGATTTATACTCCTTGCAGACAGATGGTCGTTTGCATCCTTTTAGAGGGTCGTTGAGGCCACTTGGTGGTTTATCTGTGTCCTCAGGGTCACCTGAGTGGTGCTAATGAAGAGCCGAGGTGGCGCAGTGGTTAGAGTGCAGTACTGCAGCTACTTCAGCTGACTGCTAGTTCAGCAGTATCAGCGGATCAAATCTCAGCGGCTCAAGGTTGACTCAGCCTTCCATCCTTCCGAGGTGGGTAAAAGGAGGACCCAGATTGTTGGGGGGCAATAGGCTATTTAGTATACTGTCTATGGTGTAAGCCGCCCAGAGTCCTCGGAGAGTGGGCGGCATAGAAATGTGACTAATAAAATAATAATAAATAAAATAATTCCTGTCGTCTGCAATTTTTCCTCTGGAAATCCATTCCTACTCCCACCCCATTCCAAGGGTGTCCATCCCAAATTGTAGTGCTAAACATCTGTAGAGATTCTCCAGTTATCCAGGTCATGGTTGTCCCAAAATTACTTTTTCAGGAGTCAACTGGACTTTCTGGTTTTCTCTTTTGAAGACGTTAGACAGGATAGATTATAGAAAAAAGAATTATGATGTCACTTTAGATAAGAGAGGTAAAAATATAATTGTACCAGAGGTGGGATTCATATAATTTACAGGACAGCATAGAGCTGGGGCAGGTAGGTAGGCCCACCTGCGATTTCCGCTACTGATTCTCCCGAACTGGCCCAAACCGGTTCGGCTAAAA